TTTAAGCCACCGGGTCCGGGACGCGAACCGCCGTCGACCACGTGGGAGTCCAGCAACATAGCCATTACGCTAACTGCTGGTTCCCTGCCTGGGATGATTTTTAAGGAGCTGGGTCCAGGGCTTGGACTGTAGTAGGCCATGTGGGAAAACAGTGCCTTAATCACTATACCACCTGCTGGCGCCTAACCTATGACAACTTTTAAAAATAATAAATAAGCAAATGAACTTTTCTTTCTTTCTTTCTTTCTTTCTTTCTTCTTTTTTTTTTGAGAGGTTTTTCACTATAGGACGCATGCGCTCGCCAGACAGACAGAGAGACAGAAAGTGAGAAATCACCCCCCAGGGGGGATGACCACACTGCAATCCCTTCTCCTCCATTCTCCTCTCGGGATCTTGGGCACACACGCACACGCGCCCGGCGTGAGTTTAAGCCACCGGGTCCAGGACGTGAACTGCGGTCGACTACGTGGGAGTCCAGCGACATAGCCATTACGCTAACTGCTGGTTCCCAACTTTTTTTTTTTTTTTTTTAAGAAACATTTTTGCTTTATGACACAGGCGCTTATCGGAGAGACAGAAAGTGAAAAATCACACACACATACCCCTGGGGGAATGGTCACACCACATTCCATTCTCCTCTCAGGATCTTGAGCACATAGGCACACGTGCCTGGAGTGAGTTTTAAGTTGCCGGGTCCGGGACTCGAACCGCAGTCAACTATGTGGGATTCCAGAGACGTAATCATTACGCCATCGACTGGTCCCGTCTCCTCTCAGGATGTTTGGGCATGTACGTCAACACACTTGGCGTGAGTTTTAAGTCTCCGGGCCCCAGATTCAAACCACAGTTGGCCATGCAGGAGTGCAGCGACGTAACCATTACACTACCAGCTGGTCTGAATACATAAACTTTAAAAAAAAAAAAATTAAGATTCCGTGAAGAGGACTTCACTTTATTTAAATCAAAATCCAACCAAACAAGCATCGTAGACAGAACTGAAACAGACACCAAATGTCAAAATGGAACAGGAACCAAAACCTCCAAACCCGTTCTGAGGGCAGGCGGCCTTGGGGTCGAAGTCCCTGCCTCACCGGAAGCCACGAGTCCCCTTATCCCACACTCCCCATCCCCTAACACTGAGCCTGAGGAAGAGAGCAGGTGCTTGGGTTCAGAGGAGATCCGAGGTTGCAGACGCCACAGCTCTTCCCACACCGGTTAATATCTCTCATACTATGCACGTCTCTCTTTAACTCTGTCCCTCTCTGGTCAAATTTAAATAAATAAATAAGGTTAAATACAATAATTCTTAAGAAAAAAAAAAAAAAAAAAAAACGAAAACAGATAAAAAAAAACAAAAACAAAACGAAAACAGATTTGAGACAAGGAAAGTGAGAAAGCAAGCCACCAGATCCGGGACTCGAACCGTGGTTGGCCATGTGGGGGAGTCCAGCGCCTTTAACACCATGTCACCTGCTGGCCCCTCAAATCTGGCTTTTGCCATAGGGCATGTGCACTCACCAGAGAGAGACAGGGAGAGGCAAAGTGAGAAATCACCCCCCCAATGGGGATAGCCACACCACAATCCCTTCACCCCCATTCCCCTCCTTGAATTTTGGGAACACTAGCACATGCACCTATGTATTTTAGGGCTGCCAGGTCTGGGACTCGAACCACCATAGGTCATATTGGAGTCCAGTACCTTAACCACTACATCACCTGCTGGCCCTAGGGCGTGAACACCTTTTTTTTTTTTTTTTGGAGAGGTTTTTGCTATAGGGTGCTTGCGCTTGCCAGAAAGACAGAGAGAGACAGAGAGACAGAAAGTGAGAGATCACCCCCTGGGGGGATGGCCACGCCGCAATCCCTTCTCCTCCATTCTCCTCTCGGGATCTTGGGCACGCACACACACGTGCCTGGTGTGAGTTTTAAGCCACCAGGTCTGGGACGCGAACCGTAGTCAACTAACATGGGAGTCCAGCGACATAGCCATTATGCTAACTGCTGGTCCCGGGCGTGAACACCTTTTATGTGGCAGACGGATAGCACCAACAGATCCCACGATTGTTTCCATGTGAACCCCAGAGAGAGGCAGGGCATCTCCTGGCCGTGTTACCATTCAGTATCTCAGGAGGGAGATGGCGCCATTTTTTTCTGTATTCTTGGTCGTGGTGCACACATGGCCCAGTGAGGGAAATTTGTAAAAATTAAGAGAAGAGGCTTGGGGCCAGGTGACATGGTGGTTAAGGGGCTGAACTCTCACATGGCTGACAGCAGTCATAGTCCTGGACCTAGTGGCTTACTTTCTTACGTTTTCTTTCTCTCTGATGACTGCATATGACCTATAGCAAAATTTAAAAACCCATAAGAGTGGGGCTGGC